CATCTTGGCCAGTATCTTGTCTCCGACATTGGCCCATACCAGAGCTTCAGGGGGAGTGTACAAAAGAGGGTAGTTATGGAGTGATCCACCCCTGTCTTCCACTCCCATCTTCAGGCAGCCAGAGGCTTAGGGACACTCAGAGCATGGGGTTGCATCCTGACCATCTTGGCTAAGAGTCATTGATGGACCTACCCGTCATGAACTTATCCTGTTCTTTTCTGAAGTCAGTTACATTTTTGGCCTTCACAACATCCCATGGCAATGAGTTCCACAGGTTACTTGCGTGTTGTGTGAAAAAGTACTACTTCTTGTTTGTACTAAACCTGCAGCCTATTAATTTAATTGGGTGACCCCTGGTTTTTGTATTGTGTGAAAGGGTAAACACTATTCATGGGGAAAATACCATGAAAGGTAAGTACGGCCCATACTATTCCTGATTTTGTAGATCTCTATCTTATCTCCTTTGGTCATCTCTTTTCTAAGATGAACTGCCCTAACCTTTTTAGTATATTCTCTTATGCAAGCCATTTCATATGTTTTATTATCTCTGTTGTCATTCTCGGAACCTTTTCCAGTTCCACTATATTTATTTTTTTTGAGAAGGGGCCACCAGAACTACACACACTCAAGATGTGGGCACACCAAGAATTTACACAGTGCTATTATTATATTTTGTCTCTTATTTTCTACCCATTTCCTAGTAGTTCCTAACATACTGTTAGCCAGTGCTGGGCAATGGGTGGGCGTTTCCAGAGAACTGGGCACATTGACTCCAAGATCTCTTTCTTAGGTGGTAACAGCTAATTTAGACCCCATCATTCTGTATCTATGTATAGGTGGGATTATTTTTTCCAATGTGCATTACTTTGCACTTATCAACATTGAGTTTTATCTGCCATTTTGTTGCCTAGTCACCCAGTTTTGTGAGATCCTTCTAACTCCTTGCAATCTACTTTGGACTTAACTATCTTGGATACTTTTGAATCATGTGCAAACTTTTCCACTTCACTGTTCACCCCCTTTTCCAGATCATTATTGACTATGTTGAACAGCACATGTCCCAGTACAGATCCTTGGGGGACTCCACTGTTCACCTCTTTCCATTGTGAAAACTGACCATTTAGTCCTCTACTTCGTTTCTTATCTTTCAACCAGTTATGATCCATGAGAGCACCTTCCATCTTATCCCAAGGCTACTTCGTTTACTTAAGAGCCTTTGGAATTGGACCTTCTCAAAGTCTTTCTGAAAATCCAAGTACGTTATATCCACATGCTTGCTGACTCCCTCAAAGAATTCTAACAGATCAGTGAGGCATGATTTCCTTTTACAAAAGCCATGTTGACTCTCTCCCAACAAATCGTGTTTATCTCCGTGTCTGAAAATTCTGTTCTTTACTACTGTTTCAACCAATTGGCCCAGTACTAAAGTTAGGCTCACCAGCCTGTAGTTACCAGGAGCTCCTCTGGAGCCCTTTTTAAAAATCAGTGTTACATTAGTTACCTTCCTATCATCTGTTACAGAGGCTGATTTCATCAATAGGTTAAATACCACAGCCAGTAGTTTTGTAATTTCATATTTGAGTTCCTTCAGAATTCTTGGGTGAATCCCAACTGGTCCTAATAACTTATTACTGTTTAATTTATCCATTTGTTCTAAAACCTCTTCCATTGACACATCAATGTGGGACAGTACTTCAGATTTGTCACTCAAAAAGAAAAGCTCTGATGTGAGTTTCTCCCCCACATCCTCTGCAATGAAGACTGACGCAAAGAGTTCATTTTGCTTCTCTGCAGTGGCTTTGTCTTTGGGGTTCTTCTTTAACACATTTGTCATCTAGTAACCCCACTACAACATGACCCGCAGGCAACCTGCTCCTGATGTACTTTAACATTTTTACTGAGTTTTTGCATCTTCAGCAAGTGCTTCTCAAATTCTGTATTGGCCTGCCTTATTATACTTCTACATTTTACTTGCCAGAGTTTGTTCTCTTTCCTATTTTCCTCATTAGGACTGACTTCCAAATTTTAAAGGATGCCTTCTTGCCTCTAACAGCCTCCATTACTCTGCTGTTTAGCCATGGTGGCATTCTTTCGGTCCTCCTATTGTGTTTTTTTATTTGATATTGTTTGCTTGCACCCAGTTTACCAAACGATCTAGATTGCTTTGCACCAGTGACTTGTCCCCTTCATTATTTACTACTCCCCCAATTTTTGTGTTATCTGCAAACTTTACCAGTGATAATTGGCAGCCAGGCAAATAGGTGTACCATGCTACTCAACACCAGCCCCAGTTCTTTTCATTCTCCATTCCAATCCTCGTCCTATAATAACCCTAACACCCTTTCCAGCCTGCCGCTCTAAGGCAACAAGAGCTATTTGCCACATGCCCAAACCAGCCATGTCACGGAAACCGCCTCCTCCCAGAATCTTCAACACCAACTGAAGCATCAATGGCCTGAATATAATCCCAACATCCCAAACAGTCTCCTCACCCTAATACTAACCTAACTGTTGTGACATCAGCACTACCCAGCCAGGTTTCCCCCAGTGCAACTCAATCTGTTACCAAACACTAGCCACCCACAGTGACTTCACAGGAATTGTTGCACTGGATCAGACCTATGGTCCACCTAACCCAGTCTCCCATCTTTGATCGTGCTAAATATCAGCTGCTTCAGGAGAATGTACAAGAAACCACATACCCAACAATTTTGGAATAATCGGCTCATAGAGGACTTTTCCTCCTTGTTGGTAAGCATTTGGCTTATTCTCTGAAGCATGAAGGTTTTATCGCTTTCATCCTATCTAAAGTAATACCTAATCCTTTCTGGAATCTTGCTAAACTCTTGATTTAAATGATAACTTGTGGCTTTGAGTTCAACAAGTTCATTATGTTTTATGTAAAAAGTATTTTGTTTTATCAGTTTTGAACACATGGCATTTCAGTTTCATTGAGCATCTGCAGGCTGGTCTATGCTACAAATGCTTTGCCAATATCGCTATATCGGTATGCCTTTGCTGGCAGAGCCCCCTGCTGGAGTCACCGGTTAAGTTGACAGGAGAAGGAATTCTGACGGCTTGGCCAAACCACTGCCCTACGTGACACTAGTTAAGTTGACAGAAGTACTCTGCTGTCGGCATAGCCGCATCGACATGATGGGTTTTCCCAGCACAGCGAAGTCAGCTAGGAGGTGTGATTTTTTTTCACATTTCTTGTCGACACAGCAATGCCGGCAAAACTTTATAGCATAGACTAAGCCTTTGTGTTATTGTATTATTAGCGAGTAAATGGGAGTATCCAGGTTAGCCCTAACTTTTACACTCTCTTCTCATACCGAAGTCTTTCCATGCTCCTGGTCATTTTCACCACTGGACCCTGTTTTTGCTCTCTCTCTCGTTTGAGATGGGGCGACCAGAACTGAATACAGCATTCCAAGCTGTATCTTCCACTTATATAATGATATTACAACAATTTCAGTAATATCTTCTGTTCCTTTCTTTAAACAACCTAACATTTTGTTTGCTTTTTGACTGCCACTGTGCACCAAGCAGATGTTTTCACTGAGCTGCTCACAATGATACCAGGCCTTTAGTCCTAAGTGATCACAGTGAAGTTATAACTCAGTAATATGTATGAGTAGTTCAAATGGTTCCTTCTCATGTTCAATACCTTGCATTTGTCAAAAGTAAATTCCATCTGCCATTCATCTGTCTATTCACCTAGCTTGGTTAAGTCCCACCGTCCACTCCAGTCTTGTCTGGCTTAAATAATTTTGTGTCATTTGCAAATTGCCACCTCACTATTCACAGCCTTTTTCAAGATGTTAAGATACTAAACAAATGCAACATTAGACCTAGCACAGACCCTGGTGAATCCCCGCTATTCACATATTGCCATTTTCTGTCTCTTAGCCAGTTTCTGATCTGTGGCAGAACTTTGCTTCGTACCCATGACCACACAGTACCCTTACCAGCCCCTCGAGGGACTTTGTCAAAGGCTTTTTTTTTTTTTTTAAAATTTATATAAATTACATCTACCAGTTCTCCCCCAAGGTGCCCAGACACCACACTGATTGTCTTGTTATCAGAACCTCAACAGAATAACATTTATTCACTCTTTTGTTGACACACTTGAAGGATTTCAATGTGGTTGGAGAGACTGTTTTCCTATAAAGAGCTGTGACAATTTGTTCATATTGTATCACGTTCTGTAATGCCTATCCCATTCTCCTGCACCGACCAATGCCTTATACAAGCATGGGTGCCGAGGAGTAAGCAGAGATCATATCCTCAAAGCACCATCAAGCCTATCCCCTTCTCTATATAGCCAAGCACCTCACATAAAAACCCAGCTCCAAGTGCAGCTTTGGATTCAAACACCAAACCAAGTCCTAGGACCCCTTCCATTCCGAATGTCTCCCAGCCCCGCGTGGCCCAGGCCAATCATGGCTGTGTAACAACAGAGACCCCGTTCTCTTCACTATTTCCACGCTGAGTGCTGTGTCTCCTTACATTTTATCTCGGGGTTGTCTCAAACGCAGCAAACCACATACCACCTCCAGTCCCAGAACACTCCAGCCTTATCTAAACTATGGCATTTCTAACACACCTGTCCTTGTTTTATCTCTCACATGCACACAGCACCCTTTCTGTCCTTCTCCAGCAGAGAACCAGAGCTCTCCATCCCTGCCCAATGCTCAGGCTCCAGCTCCAGCTCCCAGGATGTCCAACACAATTCCCCAACGTGGGTCACTAGGAAAAAAAGGCACTTCTCTGACCCCTACTCCTCTGCCGCCAAAAGTACTCATAGTCATCACTTATCTCAGCCTTTTGCCTAAAGAACCCCACTCCTGGACTGTCAGTGTAGAATGTGGATTGACTGAAGGAAGCTCCCTTCCCATGATCTACTGCAACATAAATAAAGGAGATACCAGTCCCATGGGCTTTAACTATATCACATTTTCTGCCATCTCTCACTGATGAGGTAGCCTGGCACTTACCTGTGGGAGGTGAAGTTGTCATATGAACCCACAGTGTAATGTCGGAAGAGACGCTTTGTCCTGTCTTCTCTCGTTTCTGTAAGAAAAAAGCAGAGATTTCTCATGCTGCTGAAAGATGGGATCAGAACCATCTTCCTGGAAGTATGTGACTGTGTGAGCAGGCATGCACATGCTCCTCTACCTGCTCCCTCCAGGTACATGTCTACAAAGACACCCATTCGTGTATACATACTCCTCTTCATCTCCATATGTACCCACACAGACTCATTTGCAGAGATCCCACACGCATATTCCTCTGCCCCAGAATGTGTCCATACACAGACACGCATGCACTCTTCACTTCTCAAAGTGTTCTGAACACAGATCCACATGCACACAACAGAAAACAGTTTTCTACAAGGACTTTTCAATACGGCGTCCAACCTACTGATTGACAAGCACCAAAGGTTTGTCCCAAAACGTATCGAATGTTCAGAAACCCACACGGAATAAGGTGCAGGCGAGAGACACTCTCATATGCCGTTGATCCAGCTTCCACTGATGTCACTGGGAGTCAAACTAGGCCCTTAGGTCTGGAGTTTAAGTTCAAACACATTTGGTGGGTGTAGAAACTGTTGCAATAAAACACCCGCGGCTGGCCTGGGCTCGGGCTGAGGTCTATAAAATTGGAGTGCAGACATCCAGGCTTGGGCTGGAGCCTAGTCTCTGGGGCCGGCTCCCTTGTGGGGCCCAGAGCCCAGGCTCCAGCGCAAGCCCAAACATCTACACTGCAATTTCATAGGCCTGCAGCCCGAGCCCTGTGACCCTAAGTCAGCTGACATGGGCCAGCTGCAGGCGTTTTATTGCAGCGCGGACATGCCCATAGATTCCAAGGCCAGCAGGGACTACTGTGATCCTCTCGTCTGACCCCCTGCACAGCACAGGCCAGAGACCTGCCCCACAATAGTGCCTAGAGCAGAGCTGTTAGACAAACCTCCCGTCTGGATTTAAAAATAGTCAGGGATTTTAAAATTCTCTGTGATCCTGGGTGAATTGTTCCACTGGTTAATTACTCTCACCGTCAACAATTTACACCTTATTTCCAGGCTGAATCTGTCTAGCTTCAGCTTCCAGTCATTGGACTGCGTTACACCTTTGTCTGCTAGACTGAAGAGCCCACTATTAACTATCTGTTCCCCATGCAGGCACTTAGAAACTGTAACCAAGTCACTCCTTCACCTTCTCTTTGTTAGATTCAATGAGCTCAATCTATGTAGCTTATTACTACAATCATGGTCATTCTCCTGGCTCTTCTCTGACCCCTCTCCAATTCATCAGCATCCTTCTTGAACTGTGGGCAGCAGAACTCGCTGCTTCTTGTGGAAGGCACTGCTACTAAGAGACAAGACCTCAGCCACCTGTGGGAGACGAACGGCCAAGAGATGTGGCTGCAGTACATGCAGGGAGAGGAGGCAACGGGCCAGGGCAGCTCAGAATGCAAAGACAATGAATGAAAGCAACACCAATTAAAACACTTCAGCAGCACAGCTGCACCCTAGCGCTTCAGGCTAGCCACTCACTCCAGCCACGAGGGGAGTTCTCCTTTGCTGTAGTTAATCCGCCTCCCCAAGCGACGGTAGCTAGGCTGCTGGAAGAATGCGTCTGTCAGTCTAGCACTGTATACACCGGGGATTAGGCTGGCATGATGATGGCTCTTGGGGGATAGACTGTTCACACCCGAGAGACGTTGCTATGCCGATGTAAGTTTTCAGGGTAGACCAGCCCCAACAAAGCAGATAGAAGTAATAATGCCAATGCTGGTGTTAGTCTAGCAATCGACGGGGCACTCTACGCTGGGCTGCTGCACCTGGTTTTGGTCACCGCACCTCAAAAAAGAGCTAACAGAAACAGAGGGTGCAATGAAAATGTTTAGAGAGCTGAAGAAACTTCCCTGCTGGGGAGCTGGAAAAGATATGAACTGTGTTAAGATGTGAGATGACAGAGAGATACAAAATGACAGAGAGAGAAGGTAAATCAGCCGCTTCTATTCACCCTCTCTCCTAACACGGTAACTGGAACTCCAATGAAATGCTACATAGCAACAATTTAAAACTATAGAAGTAAACACTATTTTTATTTACACGACTCATAATTAATCTGCAGGACTCGCTGCCGTAAGATGCAATTGAGGCCAAGACGTAAATAGGATTCAAAAATGGATTGATGGTTACACAGAATGAGATCCTCTATGGTTATTTGAGACATGGAGTCTCTAAAGAACAGATATAAACCCTCCTGCTTCGGGGCATAAGCCAACAACCTACTGATGGGGCCCGGAAGAGGCTTCCCCATGAACAGGTTATTCAGTAAATTGCCCATTACGGAGTTTCTTGCCCCTCCCTCTGAAGCAGCTGGTTCTGGTCACTCTCAGAAACCAGATACTACATTAAAGGAGCACTGGTCTGATCCAACCTGGCAGCTCCCATGTTCCATAGCACGTGTAGGGTGAGGGAGAAGAACAAAACAGATGGGAAGGGAGGATGAATTGAAGGACAAAACTAGACAGTGAGAGGTGCTTTTCCTCCACAAAGGACACAACAAACATTTCTTATATTCAAAACACTTAGAAACACACATCTGCTAAATAAGCAGCTGCCTTTGCCTGTCCCAGGGACGCTGAGTAACCAGGAATGGGAGAGGATGTGCTCTGTGCAATGGTGAAGGGGGGCAGCTCTCCAGGATGATCTCGCTGTTAAGATGTGAACTGCCTGGTGAACACTGTTATGAGCCCAGTTGTGAGACCAGGGCAGTTAGACCTTTGAGTGGCAGAAGAAACCCCGAGCCCTCTACGACAGGAACAGCCCTGGCCTGACTCTCAGAGGCGGGGATCAAAAACACACACTTCCAGGAACAGCAGCCCAGGAATGAGGAGGTCCCTGCTCACTGATTTGGGGTACCCATCCCATCAATATGGCAGCTTAGCAAAGAGCTGCACTGACAGACCCTCACAGATCAGAGTCAAACCCTAGCCTCTCCTGTGTAAGCGGACAGGAGGTGGGCTCCACAGAGGCATTCACAACTCCAGCTTCCTGCCTTATGACTGTTTCATTAGCAAAGAGTGACGCTGAGTGCAGGTTACGTTGAACAAGTGGAACTTCATTAAACCGGTGCACTGCTCTGTACCTCTGGCCGAGTTGCCGCCAGCATTCCCCGTGTCTTCCTTGGGTCCTGCCAATAACAGTCCCTCCACGGAACATGGGCCCTCCGACTCCAGTTCCACGAATCACGATACATCTTCCCTATTTTTGAACATTTTAACAATCATTAAAAACAAATAACTGATGCCCAGACCCTCACCCCGTGTCCCTTCGGCCAGAGGTTGCTAGCACATAGAATCATAGAATATCAGGGTTGGAAGGGACCTCAGGAGGTCATCTAGACCAACATACCCGAGCTGGCGTCTCGTCTGCAACACAGACTCAGCTGCTTACACAGTCTTTGAGATCAATGGTCTTCTCACCAGGTGACCACACCAGAAGTGACCTCTCTCTGTCTCCCTGTCACCTGTCTCTCTGTGGAGTCTTCCTCCTCCCTGCGGGGCTGCCTCTGGGTGGTTCTCTCTTTCTCCATCCAGTGACGAGCTCTGTATTTCTCTCAGCTCTCTCTGGGGGCTGTGTCTGCTGGCTCCTCACAACTCCTTTAGTCCACTCCTGCTGGTGTCTCTCTTCACAGAAGTGCCTGTCTCCAAGGCTGGCAGGTCCTTGGCTGATCTGTCGTACTCTAGTTCATGCTTTCTCTGAGGGTCGGCCAGCTACTCTGGGCGGCATCTTCATCCTTCTGGCTGCAACAGGTCTCCTCTCCTTGATACCAGGATTTTGGTCCTTCCCCCCACCGCCTGTGCTGGCCTGTTTGGTATTCCCGTGTGCCAAAAATGCTAACAAGGGATCTGATCCAGAAGAAACAGCCTCTTGGTTGTTTTCACAGCTGATTCCACCTTACCATTGCTCTGTGGGTGTGCTGGGGAGGAGGTGTTGTGGCCAAACTCCCATTTGTGTGCAAATTACTTGAATTCTTCCAAGGTAGATTGGGGTTTGTCGACTGTTGTCAGTGAATATAGTGTCCGGAATGCCACATCTCATAAAGACAGCCTTCAGTTGTTCATAGATACATATGAACCTTCCCAGGCCAGAAGGGACCATTGTGACCTCCTGTGTAACACTGGCCAGAGAACTGCCCCCAAATAATTCCCAGAGCAGTTTTTTAAAGACAAACATCCAATCTGGATTTAAAAACTGTCAGTGATGGAGAATCCACCACAACCGCTCTAATGGTTCATTATTCTCACTGTCAAAAAATTGTGCTTTATTTCCAGTCTGAATTTCTCTAGCTTCAACTTCCAGCCATTGGATTGTGTTGTAAGTTTCTTGGCTAAATTGAAGAGCTCATTATTAAATATTTGTTCCTCATGTATGTACTTGTAAATTGCAATCAAGTCACCCTTTAACCGTCTCTTTGTTAAACTATACAGATTGAGCTCCTTGACTCCATCGCTATGTGGCATGTTTTCTAACGCTTTAATCATTCCCGTGGATCTTCTCTGAACTCTCACCAATTTATCAACACCCGTCTTGAATTGTGGACACCAGTACTAGACACAGTATTCCAGCAGCAGTCACACCAGTGCCAAAGACAGATGTAAAATAACCTCTCTGCTTCACCTTGAGATTCACTTGTTTATGTATCCAAGGATCACATTACCCCTTTTGGCCACAGCATTGCGCTGGGAGCTCATGATCACTGATTATCCACCCTGACCCCCCAAATCTTTATCAGAGTCACTGCTTCCAGAATAGAGTCCCCCATTGTGTAAATATGGCTTCACTCTTTGTTCCTAGATGTACAAATTTACATTTAGTTTGCCAATCAGATGCCTGCTTCTTGTATCATGCAGGGCAGCAACCTCCCAAAAATCTGAAAAGTAGTCCACTGTAATCAAGTACTGCTTTTTCTTGGAGGTAAGTAAGTCCACTACCACCTTTTCCTCTGGCCGAGTGGGCAGCTCCTGTGGCAACAGACTCTGCTTCTGCTGGCAGTTAT